CCAAATATGTTAATAACATTTTTCTCAGAGAGGAGTAAATAAACAAAAAATTGTTTTAAAAAATTTTTTTTAATTTTTTATTTAAAAATTAATTTTTTTTTTATTAACTTTATTTGCATTTTAAAGTACATACTTTTACCTGAAAAATGTGTAAATTTCATAAAAATCCATAAACAATATTCCGAGATATTCAAAATTTTATAAAATTAATATTAAAATTCAAAATGGCGTATCTTCAACAATTTTGAATTTTTTTTGAAAAAATTTGGGGGAAAGAAGTCTCTTATATAGAACTATAATCCCACAAACTTTTGCGAAAATCGGCATACCCTTTGCAAATCGTGATATTTCTGACGTGAAATGCCTCTTTAATTAAAATTAATATATTGAATTTCATTTAAATTCTTGCAAAAAATTTGAGAATCATTGAATTTCTTCAAAAAATGTCATTATTTATGAAAATAATTCAATTTTCGCTAAAAATCATTAAATCAATTTTGGAAACCCTAATTAAATTTTTCTGAAGAATTATTTTTTATTTTTTGTTTAATAATTGTGTTTCTTTAATAATTTTAATTGGATATTTTTAAAGTAATTTAAATTTATGAACAATTTTTTTCAAGTTTTTAAAACTAATTTTTAAATTTGTAAATTTAGTTGAAACATCTATTGTTTACATTTATCCCTTGTTTACAATTACCCCAAATGGCCCTAATTGTAAATTGATTGTTTTGTTGATTTTTGAATTTTATTTCGGAATAATTCAATTTTTTATTATGTATTTTTCATGATTTGAAGACTTTATATAGTCTTTAAAAGACTTGATAGTATTTGAATAGTTGAAATGAAAGGCGGTGCCTAAAGTATTTTTTTTAAGTTCATTATTTTTTTTTCTTTTTAGAAAATCTATTTTCTATAATATTGTGTTAAAAAAAACGTTAACATTTTATATTTTATTTGAACAGAAGATAACGATAAGTTTAATTCTTGCAAAAGAAAGCACTTATAAGTTAATTCTACACACAAACACACACAGAAATACGTTTATTTTTTACGTAAGTGCCAATAAATTAATTTCAATTTTTTATTTAAAATGAAATAATTTAATTTTGAATTAATTGTATTTTTGATATTTGAATAATTAATTATTATTTTGAACAATTACATTTTTCAATGATTTCAAAATAATTAAATTTTTATTAAAAACAGAATAATTTATTTTTGAATTAATTAAAATTGTTTGATTTATTTTTGAATAATTAATAATTGACTTTTGAATTATTTAAAATTCAAATATTGTAAAAAATTAATAAAATATTTAAAAAAACAATTTATTTTTAACATAATAAAAAAAGTAATTTATTAAAATACTAAATTCAAATAGATTTTGAATTGCAATTATTTTTAAAAATAAATAAATTTTTTGTGTAAAATCATTTTTTTAAAATTAATTAAAATTTGAAACAATTGAATTTTTTTTTTTCATTTTTGAAAAATTAATTATTTCGAACAATTTTTTAAACATAAAAGAACCAGGAGCTATTATCACTCATAATAGCAATCAAAAAAAGCACACACTAAAGGGATCGCTCTTCCCAAAAAATTTAGACTCTAGATCCTGCACTGTATAAGTTAATAATTGAAGATTAATTAAATTTTTGAAAAATTAAATATTAAAAAATTAATTATTTTGAATAATTAATATTATTGAATAGTAATTTACGAAAACGACCAATGTAATAAAATTTAGAACGATATTTTTTATTGATTCAGGAAAATTGAATTTTTTAATTAAAATTAATAATCGTTGAAAATTGAAAATAATACAACTTTTATTGACAATTCGATATTTCAGTTTTTTTAGATTTTAAAAATGCATAAAATTTTCAATAATAATAATAAATCAAAATACAATAAATATTATCAATTATAATTATAAATAAAAAAAAAATAATAATAATAATAATAATAAGATATACGAATAAAATTTGTTTTTAAGTTATTTTGAGATTTTTATTTAACAAAATAAAATGAAATAATATAAATGATTTAATTAAGAAGAAAATTTTAATTAATAATTAGAATTTACCAATCTACAGTTTTTTTTCCACTGAAAACGGTAACCTCTCGCCTGATACCAGATATTTTTCCACGATTTTTCAAACACAATAATTCTTGTCACAATTTAACGTTTTTTAAAAACACCCGCACTACCGCATAACATAACATCGGAAATGTCAAAACATCACGAAAAATATAAACAAACAAAAAAATCATGATAATAATTCGCAAATGATAACTAACAACTAACTTCATACTGCGAACGGACAGAATGAAAAACCACAGACTTTAATAAAGTTAATTATTTAATTTAAAAAAATTTTTTTTTTTGTGAAAAAGTGTCAATCTGTTTTTTAAAATTTTTTTATCCGACTTTCACAGTGTCAAATTTTTTTGGAAAAATTTATATCACAATACCATTAATTAATATAGATTCTGCATTGAATAGAGATTGAAACAAGACCAAGAACGCTAAAAAAAGTTAATTAGTTTTCGAGAAATTAAAAAATTACGAAAAGCATGCAAAATCCAGTATTTTTTCTGTATCTGACAGAATAGTCAACGAAAATTCTTCGATCAGGTGTCAGTCTTTTCATAATTTCATTAGCTTTAAGGAAAAAAATACGAAAAATTGTTGTCATTCTTATTTTCTACGTTTTAAGCATTTTTCTACTCATGAAAAAAGGGGCGTCCTGATACTCACGGACGGTAGTGTAACTTTAAAAGTATTATTACCAACTTGTAGAGCATTAAAAAAGGCTTCGATTGACCAATTTTTGAACCTGATTCGGTAAAAAATTATCAAATTATTGGTATTTGAAAAATCAAAAATTGTGGAAAATATCATTTTTTTTAACATTCTTGTTTATTAATTTATGTGTAATTATTAAACTATTATAACCATCTTACAGAATATACAAAAACATATTTTTTGGACCAAGATTTAATTATTTTTAACTCTTTTATAAAAATTAATTTTTATATTTCAATTATTATTATTTCTATGAGGAAGCAAAGTGTTCATGAAACGAACACCAAAATTATAAAAATGTACAACTTGGCAGCGGTTACTTTAAAGTTTGATAACATTTTTTTGTAGATGTTAATTATTTTCAAAATTTTCAATTAAAGTTATTCTAAAAAACTACATTATTTTCAAGAAATTTAAAGAAATTCTTCAAAAAATTTAATTATTTACGAAGACTTTAATAAAATTGCTATAAAGGAATTTACTTTTCTATCAATATTTTTAATAAAATTTAATACTAAAATTAGGTACCTATTAATTACAATTATTTGTAAGCTGGATTATATTTAAATATTTAAAAAAATTCTTCTTTAAATTCAATTACTTTCAAAAGTTTAAATAAAAATTGTTTAAGAAACTCAATTATTTGAAAAAAAAATTCAAATTACTTCTTAAAAACAATTAAATTAATTTCAAAATTTTTTAATTAAATTCTTCCCATAAATTGAATTATTTTCAAAAATTTAAATAACATTCTCTGGAAGAATTCGATTAGTTTCATAAATAATAAAATTATTTGCGAGAATTCAATTATTTTCAAAAGAATTTTAATAAAGCGTCTATAATGAATTCAATTACATACTTTCAAAAATTTCGATAAAATCCTTAAAAGTAATTCAATTATTTTCAAATTTTTTTGATAAATACTTCGCAAGAATATGATTTTTAATACATTAATTCTAAAATTCTAAACATTTAAAAAAAGTTATTTAAAAAGTTCAAAAATAAAGAATCAGGCAAAAACTAATTTCAAATTATTGCGGAGAGATTATCAGAATACAACGAGTAATAACATAAAAGAGAATATATTTTAATTGAAAATTTTTGAAAGTAATTGGAATTTAGAAAGAATTTTTTTAAGTTTTTAATCTAATCGTGTTTGTTAATAATTGAGGCTCCGGATCTTAAAAGGTCACTTTTACTATTTAAAGTCAATGCTGAAAGTGCCCTTTTAAGATCCGGAGCTTCAATTATTAAAAATTTTATTATTGAATTTAGTTAAAGTTTTAGGGATTAATTAAATTCCTTTCATTGACAGAATTTTATTTCAACTTTTTTAAACAATCTAATTCCTCCTCGAATTCTTGTAAAGAATTTCATTAAAATTTTTGAAAGTAATTGAATTGATTTGAAAAATTTTATTAAAATTTTAGATAATGATAAATAATAATAGAGCCGCTGGATCGTAGAAGGACACGTAAACTTTTCTCGGCCGAAATCTAAGTCTTCTAGACATTGAAAATTCAACTTCTGAATTTAAATGTTTTAAATACACATCTTTATAGAAAATTTCATTACGCACCTTTTCATCTTATGAAATTTTTTTCTATCTATTTCTGTTTTCGAAATATTTGGGAAAAACTGTTTTTTTGAAAACTGAAAATTTAATCACTTTAATTTCACTTCAACTCGCGATATTTCAGACAATTTTAAAAAATGTTCAATGAAACAAAAAGAAAATGATATTAATTTTTGTCTTTATTAATGTAAAAGTCATGAACTACAATCTTTACGGATCTCGTTTAACAACTTTCTCACTGGATGTTCTCTGTTACTCAAAATTCGCCCGTTAAACAAGAACCGTGAAAATTGTAGTTTATGATTTTTACGATTACAATTTTTCCCAAATATTTCGAAAACGGAAATAGATAGAAAAAAATTTCATAAGAAAAAAAGGTGCGCAATGAAATTTTCTATAAGGATGTGTATTTAAAACATTTAAATTCAGAAATTGAATTTTGAGTGTCCAGGGGACTCAGATTTCGGCTGAGAAAAATGTACGTGCCTTCTACGATCGAGCTGCTCAATAGTTAAGTATTATTAATTATTATTAAAGCACACAATTATCATTTTTAATTAATGAAAATAATAAAATTAAAAATTAATCCAATTAATCTAATTTTTCTTTAAGGACATGTGTATAAATTGTGGAAAATGCTACATGACTTGTGCTGACTCTGGCTATCAAGCAATTACATTTGATTCGGAAACCCATATTCCAAAAGTGACTGATGATTGTACAGGTTGCACATTATGTCTCTCGGTTTGTCCAATTATCGACTGCATAGCGTAAGTTTCATTAATATTCTTTAAAGTCATTTACATTACTTACACTATTAAATCACAAGCAAAAGTTTTAAAACTTTTTTTAAATTAAAAATTTAGTTTCAATTACAAATATTTTTAAAAATGATACAAAAAAAGAAAAATAATTTCAGAAAAGTTTGTTTTAACAGAACTTTTTACTAATTAAATAAAATTGATGTACATGTACATACATACATACATGCACATTATTGATTTTTTATAAAAATATAGGTATTTTTTATGAGAAATATATTTTTTCATGAAATTTTTTTTATAAAAAATATATTTTTCAAACAAAATAAAGTTTTTAAAAATATTCTTCAAGATATATTTTTTTCAACAAACGTTTTGGGCTATTTTGCAACAATTATATTCACAAAATTAATGTCAAGGGGAGTGAATTTTTCGTGACGATTAGAAGTTTATCAGTGAAGAGAATTATTTTGTTTTAATCCGTCATTAACTAATTGTTGCTATTTAACTTTAAAGAGATCAAGCCTTATGACAAAAAACGTTTATTTAAAAAAATGTAGTTTAAAAAATATTTTAATAAATATAGTAGTTCAAAAAACCAGTTTAATTTTTCAATTGAATATAAAAATATAAAAGTTATGTTTCAATATCTGGAGAATATCTAAGGAAACTTTTAAAATTTAAGGTTTTACGACCTTAGAATTTATAATTTACAATACAAAAGAACTCCTTGATTTATTAATATTTAATTATTGAATTACGAATATTAAATTATGGAAACATAATGTTGCTTTTTAATATAATTGATAATGTAATTTAAATTTAAATTATAGAATGGTTCCGAAGACTATACCTCATATCATCAAAAGAGGAATTCTCCCGAAAGATTTGAAATGAAAGTGCTCAGAAAACTTGAATTATTCCAGTTTGGACTAAGCTGATTTGCTTCTTACACCATCCGAAAATTATTCATCTTCCTTAATTTTATCGTTCCTTTGAAAAATTATACTTTCCATTATAATATTTTACCTGAAAATAAAATTAGTTTTATACACAATATTTATATAAGAAAAAAATTGAATATAGTTTTAGAAAAGTACTTATCAAATACTCTCCAGTAACAAGAAAAAGTTTAATTGTGTATCTCTAAACTGAATTAATAATTACCGTACAATTTTCCCTTTTTCAAAAGGAAAAAAAACTTTCTGACAAAGTGAATTGAAAAATATAAATCTTAATAAAATGGTCAAATATATTAATTAATAAGTAAATAATTAAGAAAAAATTAGACAACTTAAATTAAATGATTAATTAAAAAGTAAAAAAAAAATAAATTACTTAATTCATTCAAATAAATAAATTAAAATCTCAAAGAATGTTATGCAAATTATTCGTTTGAAAAAAGTAGTTTATATTTCATAATTTATTTAAATTTATTGATATTTATAGATACTTATTTTAATTTGTATAATAACAGTAATTATCATTTATAATGTAAATTCAATTTAGCACAATTTGTCAGAGGAATTAAAGCGCTCCAGTTTTTTTCTCACAAAAAATCTGGATTGTCAAACCATTGCATGGTCATATTTTGTGAAGTGTCGATTTCATATTCTTTACATTTGCTTCTTGCAATTCGTAAACTGGAAAAAGAATAATATAATCAACACTTATCTTTTAAACAAACGAAAAAAAATGCGCAAATAATTTACACAAAATACATGCAGAAGTTTTTTTGTAAAACATTCTTTACACAACATTTTCTTTTTTTGTAAAAAAACAAACAATATACTTACTTTAATTATAAGCTAACAAAAATAAAAGAAAATAATATCAAGATCAAATTAAAATATACATTAATATTAATAATAAATATGAATATAAATATTCAAATAAAATAATTTTCAATTATAATTTTCTTTTTTCATTTTTTAAAACAAATTGAAGGAAAAGTTTTGAAAAAAATCTGTTAATTAAATATCGATTGAAAGCAAAAATTTTGTTATTAATAAAATTAAGAAATCAATAAAATTAAATAACGACTCACTGTCCATATTTAAGGCAAGTTGCAGGATATTCCTCCTTGAAACATTGAGGTCTCAAAATATTGAAATAAGTTATTCCAATTTTTGTGGCTATCACAGAATGAGCTTTTTTTAAACAATCGTAAAATTCTTCGTCACAAATGCAATGGGATCTGAAAAGTTTTTAGAACAAAATATAAAAATTCATTCTCAATTATTCCTCAAATACTTATTCTATAAATTTTTTTGTAAACTTGTAACTTATTGAAATGCAATAAATTTTTTTGTAATTTCAAAAACTTGCATTAAAGAATTAAAATTTTTTAAATGAATAAATAATTTGAAAACTTGCCTGGTGAATACACCATCGTTACGAAGACCCTTTTCTGATCTTCCCGCTCGTAGGGAATAACGACAATTATCGTGACTCCTACAACAAGCGTCAGTGACTTTAAAGAAACCAACTTCTTCAGGACTTGATGCTGAATGACCTGCACCACACCATAAAGTACCTGAAAAAATAAATTTTAAATATTTTAAATAGAAATAAAAATTAAATTTTCTAGTTTTTTCCAATGTGTATAACAATATAAAAAAATAATAAACTGTAATTTAATACAATAAAAGTAAATTTAATTAAAATTTAATTCATTTTTTATATACAAAATTTGTAGGTACCTAAAATTTAATTAAAACTAGTAAAGATAATAAATTTATTTAATGACATACTCAATGCAATCAAAAAATTTTAAAAACAACTTTCTAACGGTTTCTTTTTTTTCTTCTCATTAGTGATAACATTTATTATGCAAATATACTTGTAATTTATCATTTATCCAAAAAGAATCAATTTTTTAAAATTTTATAACATTTTAAAGTTATGAGTTAAATACGTCAAACCAATGGAATGTGTACACGAATTATTTCCATAATTTACAAAAAAGAACACTTTTTCTGCACTTGTGATTTAAGAATTGGAATTTAAAGAAAAAATTTATTCTTGAAAGATTTTTTTTCCACTCGAAAAACTTCGGCGTAACTTCCTGTATAATTTGCATTTTAGGAATTCTGAATTAAAAATGAAGGATTTTTTGAGATTAATTCCAAAGCGATCTGTCTCAATATTTTGTGTCAATCTCTTCATCTTTTAAGAGTTAAATTTAAAAAACTACTTTAAATTGAATTGGTCATTCTGATCAATTAATTTTAAAGTAGTTGTTTTATCCTTTAATTTTGAAGGATGTTAATAAGAAGGATGTTAAAAAAATAAGTAAAAAAAATATGAAAAAAGAATATAAAATAAATAAAAATAATATATTAAAAAAAATAAAACAAATAAGTAAAAAAAATAAGAAAATTAAAAAAATAGAACGAGTAAAAAGTATAAAAATAAATAAAACAAAAAAGTGAAAAAAGAAAAATAAACGAAAAATAATCATTAAAAGAATAAATACATTTTAATAAAAATTATTTGAATATTTATTGTAATTGACGATTCAATTTTTACCCGGATAAATGGCGTGAAAATGATCTGTTATTAAATTAAGAATATCTCCGAATCCAGTACTTCTCACTGATCTTTCCTCGCTTTTTTTATTACGATTAAAAATACTTGTAAACGGTCTTGTTATTTCACTGAATAGGTTGTCCATTCCACTTCTTCTATTAGAATCACCGCCATTTTTTCCTGTTAAAATTCCCAATCCTGTGACGAGACTTTTTATCAATTTTTCCGCCGGCGGAACGTATGTGGGAATTTCATCAATTCTATTATCTATGTACAATTCCGTATATGGGTCAGAATCTCCATCATCTGTTGTAGTTGTAACCTCAACATCATCGCCAGTTTCACATTTTACTTTATTATCAAATAATAAAAATAACGTGAGGTACGCTAATTTCCTTACCAACATTCTGAAAAACAATCAAAATAGATGTATATTTTACTAATCACAAGAGAAAATAATTAATTTTTCAAAAATAAAGCCAAAATTCCAAATAAAGCAATATTTTAAATAAATCAAAAAATTCCAAATGCAGGCAAATAAAATTATATTTTCAATTGAGGCATTTCACGCCAGAAATATCACGATTTGCATAGGGTATGCCGATTTGCGCAAAACTTCGTGGGATTATAGTTCTATATAAGATACTTCTTTTCACCAAATTTCATAAAAAAAATTGATGGAAACTCAACTGGGTCTGGAGATATTGAAATTTTTGTAAAAAAAAGCGTCGCCGTGCCATAGCACCATACTGCACAAGTCGCGTAATACGTTACCGTAGTCGTGCATTGCTGCTGCAACTAGGCCTATTTTTTACAAAAACTTTAATATCTCCGGACTCAGTTAAGTCTCCATCAATTTTTTTTATGAAATTAAAGGTGAATTCATAAGGAATCCAAATACCCCCACAGCACCGAAACTTTCCTAAAAATTTATTAAATATTTACTTGCAATGTTCGGAATATGTAATTACAATGTTTATTGAAAGTTGTGTAAAGATTTAAATGTCCCGATTAAATAAATGTTTAGCGCGAAACTATCCTGAACATGTAAATTACATTTTCGCCTAATTATAAATATAATTATAATATACCGAATATTGCAAGTAAATATTTAATAAATTTTTAGGAAATTTTCGGTGCTGTGGGGGTATACAGGGTGTCTAGCGAATTATGATTTTCAAATTCCCGGCAAAATCCCGGATTTCCCGGACCTAAAACTAAATTATTCCCGGATTTATTTTTAAGACATTAATGACTATACTATTAAAATTTCATAATTTTTTAAATACAGTAGAAACTGAATTATACGAACTAATTCAGGCAGGATCTGGTTCAGATAATCAAAAGTTCAAATAATAGAAATTGCAATTATTTTTTTTATATTTGTGGATAAATGATTGTTTCGGAATTATTTTGCAATACCCAATGGCATTTATGTCTTCTTTTAGATATTTACATTAAAAGTCACTGAGGTTCAACTGCAATAAGTTAAAAATATTAGGATTTATAATTAAACTTTTAATTGAAGACTTTAAAATGTTAAAAATGTATGCAACAATTATATAAATAATAATAATATACGGTCAATTCTACGTCACAAGTATATTTTATTTATAGTATATGGAGTGTATAACTCCTTTTTCATTTTAAGCCAAGTATAATAAAGTAAAGAAAGGTAAAGATTTCCTTCTTCTTTACTTTATATTTTATTTATTCCTTTTAGAAAAAAGGTATACGTATATCCTTTATTTTTCTATTCTATAGGGGGACCAAAATATTTTTTGCAAACTATCCTTATTATTTGTAAGTATGTATTAGATAAGTTTTCTAAATTCAATAGTTTTAGAGTTATAGATTTTAGAGTCTACTTTTAAAAATCCAAAAATTTGGTTACCTATAAAAAATGAAAAAATAGATTTACAATAATATATTTTTATCCTAATTGAAAATGTGGACTGAAATTTAACGTGAAATTGCCTATACATATACTTATAATATATGATTTTTTCATTTTTGAAAAATATAAGACTGAAGGTAGTTCTCTGGCTTCTACTCTTGTAAAAATTTATTTTCTTCAAATTTTGAGGAAATGTTTCTTTTGGTGCCCTTTAAATGTGGTAAAAATTTCAAAACCCTTTGCGATGCTAAATTTTGACTTATTCAAGTTCAAACTTTCACTTTTCCATGCGTTTATGTTAAAAATAAAAAATGTCAACCACAATATCTCGTTTTTTGACATGGCAAAAGGTTTTGAAGTTTCTATAGGTCCGTCAAGCTAGAACCTCCACAATAAAATTTTCAATAATCAACTATACCAGATTTTAGGGCTTTTTTAGGGCTATTTTTGGGCAGTAGTGCCAATTTTTGGGCTCCTTTGCATTTTCAGAAAAAAAAAATTTTTGGTGGAGGTGCCCACTTGAATCAAGCTAACACCTCCTCTAAACAAAATACAGGAATTTAAAAAAAGTAAAGACGCTATATTTTAGGGCTTTTTTAGGGCTCTCCAAAAATATATTTCCCGAATTTCAAAAATCATCTCTTTCCTAAAAATAACCCCTTTCTTCAAAATAGCGAAATATAAAAAATCAAAATTTCACCTATTTGCGATATTTAGCTAAAAAAGATTACTCGGGGGTTTTCGGGGTCGCTAAATCCAAATCCGTTGTCGAAATTTCAAAATTCAAAATGTTCAATTTAACCCTCCATCCGTCGCATGGTGAGAATTTCCCTCACCCAGTTTCTTTTTTTATTTATAACTTTTAAAATACAAAAAATTATAATTTCATATTCTCAGTACCTTTTACGGCACTCTTCTTCTTTACATTAAAACAATTTTGGTGTTTTTTTATATTTTAATTTCTTTGTTATTGAATTTGAAAGCAGTAAATGTCGGGGATTTTTGACGCGAAGTGAGGGAACTTCTCACCATGCGACTGACCGCGTATACTCGATTTCATTTGTCATTAATTTTTTATTTAAATAATTAACAGGAAATAAAAGTTAATTTTACTGCCAATAGGTTGTTAAGAAATTCTAATGAACATTCAAAAAAAAATTTGGCATTTTAGAACAAGTTTAGACTAATTTATGATGGTGAGAATTTCCCTCACCTGCGACGGATCGCGTTACAAAAAAAGGTGCGACGGATGGAGAGTTAAAAAACTAATAACAACCCTAAAGCTATAAATTTAGCTAATTTTAAAATCCTTTTACTCTATTTTTATTCTCCTACCTCATAATTTGTCCCAATATTTTTGGGCTCTTCTAAAACACTTTAAATGAAGCCCAAAAATTGGGGCTAGTGTTTTAGAAGAGCCCAAAAATATTGGTACAAATTAGGAGGTAAAAGAATAAAAATTGTGTAAAAGGATTTGAAAATTGGCAATATTTATAGCTTAGGAGTTAAAAATAGTTTTTTAAATTAAGTTAAAAAAATTAAGTTAAAGTTAACTTTAAAAATTTTTTTGCTCGCCAGTTTGAAGCCGCCATTTTAAATTTTAGATTTTTGACCACGGATTTGGAATGAGCGATCTCGAAAACCCCCGAGTAGGCATTTTTAGACAGATTCGTTAACTTTAAAAATTTTTTTTTGGTCGCCATTTTGAAGCCGACATTTTGAATTTTGAAATTTCAACAACGGATTTGGATTTAGCGACCCCGAAAACCCCCGAGTAATCTTTTTTAGCTAAATATCGCAAATATGTGAAATTTTGATTTTTTATATTTCGCTATTTTGAAGAAAGGGGTTATTTTTAGGAAAGGGATGATTTTTGAAATTCGGGAAATATATTTTTGGAGAGCCCTAAAAAAGCCCTAAAATATAGCGTCTTTACTTTTTTTAAATTCCTGTATTTTGTTTAGAGGAGGTGTTAGCTTGATTCAAGTGGGCACCTCCACCAAAAATTTTTTTTTCTGAAAATGCAAAGGAGCCCAAAAATTGGCACTACTGCCCAAAAATAGCCCTAAAAAAGCCCTAAAATCTGGTATAGTTGATTATTGAAAATTTTATTGTGGAGGTTCTAGCTTGACGGACCTCGCTAGACACCCTGCCGTGACGGTATATTAAACAAAAAATTGTTTAAAAAAATTTCTTTTTATTTTTTTATTTAAAAATTAAATTTTTTTAAATAACTTTATTTGCATTTTAAAGTACATACTTTTACCTGAAAAATGTGTAAATTTTATAAAAATCCATAAACAATATTCCGAGATATTCAAAATTTTATAAAATTAATATTAAAATTCAAAATGGCGTATCTTCAACAATTTAAAATTTTTTTTTGAAAAAATTTGGGCGAAAGAAGTCTCTTATATAGAACTATAATCCCACGAAGTTTTGCGAAAATCAGCAGACCCTTTGCAAATCGTGATATTTCTGACGTGAAATGACTCAATTAATAAAAATAAATGTATAATTAATTAACTACAAAATTAAAAATTATTCTTTTCTGCAAATATAAGAAGAACGAAAGATTAAAACGTAAAAAAATTTGAAAATATTCCAATAAATTAAAAAAAATACAATTTTCTTAAAACTTAACTACGTTAGATTAACACGACTTCACAGAAAAATTTAAAAAATTATTTTTTTAAAAGTATAATTTGCGAATACAAAACAAATCCGAACAATGAAAAAAAGAACAAGAAAATGAATCAGACAAACTGTTACTATGATTCAACCGTTTGAGATTTTTATAATTAGATTTTAAAGTTTATAAAAGTCTTGAGTGTATTTTTGTTCATGTAAAACGACAAAAAAAAACGAAATAATTTTCAAGCCACTTTTAATTAGCAAATGAAAGGTACAAAATATAGAAGCTGTTTAAAGCCTTTCACTAACGAATTATTTGTGCAATTGAAAAAAAATCTTTTCGTTAGCGCAATATCCTTCTAAGGCGAGTTTCAATTAACTACACTAAGTCTTGCACATTAAAGAGTGTTGAAATTTTTTGAAGAAACCTATGCGTAAATCTTTTTTAAAAGCATATATATTTTATTAAGAATTTCAGTTTCGCCAAGTTAAGATAAAATTGTTGAACTCGTCAAAGTAAATTTTAATTTCGATCGTGAACAGTTTCTTCTCTCTCTCTCTCTCTCTCTCTCTCTCTCTCTCTCTCTCTCTCTCTCTTGCCAACCGTGAATATTTCAATTTGTAATTTTAATTAAACAATTTCACATTAATTGTACATTTATTTTTTTATCAACCCTAATGTTTACTTGCTCTAAAGAATTAGAGCAATTATTTTCTAATAAAATTTAGTAACCTTGATAATTTAAATTTATTTAAATACAAATTTTGCAAAATAAAAACTTTACGAACTATTTTTGAAACATGAATTGAGAATTCGAATTTTTCACAAATATTTTTATCACAAAAAAATTCCATAGAATTACATGAAATATTTTGCAAAAAAATTCAAAATTCGAAAAAACTTTTTCTTTAAATTTTCAAAGTGGAGATTAATTGAGAGAGAAAAAAGAGAAAATTTTTTGAAAATTGCACTTTTTGGAATTGAAAAAAATGAAAAAGTAAAAATAATTGGAAGAGACTCACTCTTTAAATATGGTTGTTTATGTTAAGATGGTCGAGTTGTAAATGGTTTTCCTGTTGAGCCGAACTTGTGTATATGTATTCGAAATAGCGAGTAATAACTCGGAAATTAATTATCCATCCAACGACAAATGTCAAGGTCATCCACTTGTCCTAGGTCAAGTTGAGATTTTTCTTTAACTCTCAAACGAAAATCACCTTGATAAATATCATCTTCAATAACTCACAAAATTTCAACATCACCGGAAATTAAAGATGAGTCTTTCAGGATTCGCGAATTGTTTGTGCTCTCCAGAATTTATCCAATTTTCTTTTATACCACGAGGAGGAGGATGATAATGATGATGATGATTCTGATGATAATAATCGCGAGAATGAACTTGAAAGATTCCACTTCACTACACCAACTCTCATTCACATTCAAAGGGATTCCTCCGAGGATTCCTCTTTAAAATTTCTCTCCATCGTCAAAATCGACCTTTAAAAATAAAAATTGTCATTAATTAAAAATCGTTAAAAAATTCAATAAATTTATAATAATAATAATAATAATAATAATAATAATAATAATAATAATTTTATATTTTTATCTTTTTTATTTTTGATATATTTTTTTTGATAAAAACGTTTATTTTAATATAATATGTGAGTAAAAATATTGTATGTACCTGTCAGTTAATTGATATTCAAATTAAATGAATAAGAATCGATTGCAATTGTTAATTAACCAAACAATGGTCAAGATGGATAAAAATTTATGTTGACACAACTTTTTTGCAACTGTCGTATTTTTTTTCTTGATTTATTGTCCAATAAAAATTAAAAGCCATTGAAGATTGAATTTCATTATTTTGTTATATATATATATGTATATATATATATTATATATACGTATACTTTTTTTCCTCGTTTATCTTTCTGCCTGAAATAAATCGAAATGACGAAAGTCATAAGGAAAAGAATTATTTAATAAACATTTGTAACATAACCTGTAAAAAAAGAGGTCAATGAATTTTGATTACAATTCAATTTCAATGTATAATAAAAAGAATTAAAAAAATGATAATAATAATATAATAGTAACAATAAAAATAAACAATAATATTAATAATTAATAATAATAAAGAAATAAATAATAATAAAGAGTTTGAACATATTCGGTAAAACAATGCTTCCATGAGGAAGTAATATTAATACTTATTATTTGGTTTGCAAATATTCAAAATAAAAAAAAAATGAAATAGAAAGTAGCAATAAAAATATGCAATAATAATGGTAAAATAATAATAACAAATATTAAAATATATTTATTGGCTAGAGATTATTTTCTGAAAGAAAAAAAATGGGTCAAGTTTATGTTTCCATATTATGTAAGCATCTATAAACTTAGTGAGTCAAGAATAAAAATCTCTCGGTCGAAGCACTCCAAATCCCTTTCTCTTCTCGCACCACAATTTTCCTGGAATTTCCTTCAAACAAGAAACATTAATATAATCTTATAAATTTATTTTTAAAAAAATTACAAAAATTAAATAAAATATAATAATAATAATATTCGCAAATATTGTAAAACACACTGATAATAATTTTTATAATTACGATAATTTTCAAACAAAACGACAATTGACAACTGGTATTTATAAATAAAAATATTTTTGAAATTTCGATTAAAAACAAAAGTAAAAAGTAAACTAGACAAAATGAAAGAAAGCGAAAAAATTAGTAAAATAGTTGTTTAATTTGTTTACAATAGTAAGGGGCCATCCGTAAACCACGTGGACACATTTGGGGGGGCGGGGGGTGAATCAAAAGTCCACGAAGGGGAGGGGGGTGTTAAAGCAAATGTCAACGTGGACATATAATCATAAGATATTTCCAAAAAAGATATCAGGATGATCATAAGTTTCAGTTAATCAATTTCCCTGACAATTTACTGACATTAAAATTAATTTCCCTGACAAAATTCTTTTTACAAGAAAATATGAATGTTTACGGAAAATGAGTAAAATTTATGATTTTAATTATTTTTTAAAATAACAATTATAACCCTTCCTGAATTCAATTATTTTCTACAATTTCCACCCAGTAAAAAAAAAGTATTGGAAGGGAGCGAATAGTATTGTCGTTGAGTTTCTGCCAATACGGTTTTCACGCGAAAATGTATTGGCAGAAACTCACCGCCAATACTAATTTTTTTAAATGAGTCGAAAAAAGTCACAATTTTCTTAATTTCCCTGACAAAAAATTTTTTCCTGACATTTCCCTGACTTTACTGACATTCTTGCTTTGAAATATGTTTAAAAAACATATTTCAATATGTTTTTTGAAGTAAAAAAAAACTTATTTTTTAATTTGCAATATCCACGTGGACAATTGTATAGGGGGGAGGGGGTTTGACAAATGTCCACGACTGTCCACAACGGGGGGGGGGGGTTAAAAATTGGTGAAAAATTGTCCACGTGGTTTATGGACGGCCCCTAATGGAAATCTCTCAAAAACAATAGAAATCTCATAAAATTATTTCAATGTCAGTAAATTTAAATTATTAATAATGCAAAATCACGTTGAAATTTTCATATTGATAGAAATTTAATTAAAATACAAAAAAAGTCAATCGACGAGTAGAAAATGAAGTACCTATTCTTTTCAGTGGCGTGTCCAGAATTTACTCCGGGGGGGGGAGTCATCCTTAGATGCGTCGAGCGACTTTAATGTAAATTTTTCTTCCCAGGGGAGGGTCATGACCCCCATAACCCCCCCTGGACACATCACTGATTCTTTTATACAATAGATTAGAATTTTTTAAAAATAAATAATCATATTCATGTCTAGAAAATTAAAAGCTCTTACACATAAAGCGATGCTTTTTAGCTAATTTTTTTCTATATAATTCCAAAGTTGTCTTTCTTTGTAAAATGGGTAAAAATTAAGATATTGATTTGATTTTATCCGCTTCAATTGCTTTGGCATCGTTTTTATCCAGCAATGAACGACGTTGTTCAATTCGTAGACATTTTGTACAACGGTGATCACGTTTTGTCCAGCAAATTCGATGATGCACCGCGGAACATTTATGACATGAAATTGCACTAACTTCCCAGGGAAATATCACTTCGTCATTTCCACACAACTCACAAAGATGTCCTCTATTAATATATTAATTAATTAATTAATACGATATAAATTAATAATTGTAAGAATATTAATTGAACGTTTTACAAAAAGAGGAGAAAAAACTCACCTTCCTTTACACAATTGACAAGAGTTTGTGACATGATTACGCATACTCTCGTGTGCAGTGCGAAGTTCTTCCATTAATACTCCACTTTGCAGATCAACGAGATCTTTTACCGAATAATTGCCGGCACTTTCTAAAAAATGTGTTCTTAGGCCCACTCGCCAAGGTAGGCCTTGATTATTCGCCTCGGAACAAACTATCAAGTACTGTTTCATCATTTGAAGCTCTTCCCGAAGTCGCTAAATGAAAACGTGCCAAAATGAATCGAGAAAAATTAATTTCAAAATACTTGCTTTTCGTTAAAATAATTACAAAATATTTGCTCCTTGTTAAAACAATTTCAAACTACTTGCTTTTTGTTAAAATAATTTCAAAACATTTGTGTGCTTTAAATATTACTTTTCAAAGTTGAATTAATTTACAACTATGAAATTGAATTAGAGTAAAATAATGTAGTCCGTAAAAATATTTCCTTGGGAAGAAAAAATTCACCTTGACGATAGACATATCAGGAACGAGGGTAAAAAGTTTTGAATTCAATTCCTCCAAAAGTAGCACCGGTCTTTCGTGGAGCAAACTCAAAAGTTGAGAAGCTGCACGACAAACGCGTCGCGGTTCCATGTCCCAATTTCTAATAACCCTAGCTGGAATCACTGCATAAGTGTTCCAATGGCATTTTTGACAATAATATAAACCGCTGTAGTCGCAAAGACGAGGTTCCACCCACGTTGACTCTGCAAAAATCGAAATTAACAGAAACTTTAAAGTGAAATTTAAAAATCTGTCTACATTAATAAATTATTTAAGCCAATTGATTACTTAAGGAACAAAAAAGTAAAAAGCGTCTAAATACAAATTGAGTAATAGAAAACAATTATTATCAAACTAATTTAATAATCTATATAATAAATTTAATTATGTTTTGAATTCAATTCTTGGCAAGTATTTATTAAAAATTTTAAAAGAATTAAATTCTTTTGAGAAATGTTATTAAAATTGTATTGAAAGAATCGAATCCTCGCAAGGAATTTTATTACCTATTTAAAAAATTAATCAAATTATTCCAAAGAATGGTATTAAATTTTTGAAAATAATTGAATTGTTTTGAAGAATTTATTTGATCATGGAATTTTCTAGAAAAATTATTTTCTCAAAATTTGAACCTTCCTTAATAAGTGGTTAAATTTTTAAAGAAGTGATTTTTGATGTTTTTGAGAAAAAAAAATTTTTGAAGTTTGCGCTACGAGTTTTTGTGCGTTGCGCTAACTAAGCAGCGCCTAGGTATGTCAGTGTATTTTTAAAGATGATTTGACCTTTACTGCTCGCCCCTAATACATTTATTAATTATATACGTATATATTATTATTATAAACAGTTTAACAATATATTTTTAACTTTTTTAAAAACATTATTTTCCTTTTTTAACCCATTAATGGTCATGGGCACAGGAACGCATAATATAAAAAGTAACTATTGGGATCCTGGCATAGGATCATAATAATAATTTTTGACGTTAAAAATTAAAAAAAAAAATTTTTTAAACAATTTGTTATAAACAAATGAAGAAAATACACAGGAAAAAAAAAGTCTGACTCCGTTTACACCTTAAATTACACCTTTATTACCTTAATTACACCTCAATTTTATTATAATTTTTACAAATATTTAAACCCATTCCAGAAATATTATTAAAATTATAGGAGAGAGTGAATTATAGGAGAGAGTAAAAATTTAATTTTTATTGTTTTTTCGAGAGCAGCTACAAGAGATAAATAATTAAAAATTTCTAAATGAGTGTGTGCTCTACTTCCTTTATTTAATGTTGCAATAAGAGGTTCTGTTGATTTTTTACTTAAATTTTTTTGATCAGCGTAATAATTTGAAACTTGTAAAAATCTACAGTGGTCCTAAGTTGGCCACCTATTATTTTTGTTTGTTTTTATTTATGTTTTGCTTCTTTCTTGTGTTTTTCATCACGAGAAATACCGTGATAGTGTTAAGTGTAACGTATATACGAATTAAACAAAGACAAAAAACAATAGAAAAGACATACTACAAAAACGCCAGTCTCCGCAGCCATCCATTTTGCTATTTTCAATTACACGTACCCAGTAAAAAAAAAGTATTCAGAATAGAGAAAAAGTATTGGTGGAGACGTTCGGTGAATGAGTTTTCGCGACAAAACCGTATTGGTGGGTTACGGTGAATACATTTTGCTTACCGTGAATACTTTTTTTTAAAACTTTCGATTTAAAGATTCCTAAGCAAAGTTGAGAATATTTATAAAGAGCGTAAGTGACCTGAAGTATAAAAATGACTATTGCGAGAAGGAAATAAGAAATTTTGAGAAAAAACGAAAAATTAAATGTGACAAACAGATTGTCAAATGTTGATCAATTACCATATGCTTTTTTGTGCCTACAACGTATGATGATTAAAAGGAACTTTGACGTTACCGACGGAACTTACTGTTTCACATTCACATACATTTACTTGGATTTCTCAAGTTTCTGTCGGTATCGTCAATGTTCCTTTTCATCATCATACGTTGTAGGTTTGTCACATTTAATTTTTCATTTTTTCTCAAAATTTCTTATTTCCTTCTCGCAATCGTCATTTTTATACTTCAGGTCACTTACGCTCTTTATAAATATTCTCAACTTTGCTTAGGAATCTTTAAATCGAGAGTTTAAAAAAAAAGTATTCACGGTAAGCAAAATGTATTCACCGTAACCCACCAATACGGTTTTGTCGCGAAAACGCATTCACCGAACGTCTCCACCAATACTTTTTCTCTATTCTGAATACTTTTTTTTTACTGGGTACTGAAAAAAATGTATTTGATTCAAATAACTGATTATTTGTCTATTATCTAATAAATATTTATTTGGATCAAATAATTTTTATTTAAATCAATGAAATGGTTCAGTTCACACTTGCTTCAAATACTGTAATTATTGATCTAAATTCAATTTATTTTATTTAAATCAAAATTATTTGATTCAAGTATATATTCTTTTAATAGGTATAATAGACAATTTATCAGTTATTTGAATCAAATATTGTTTTCAGTGCAATAAACTCAATAATACAGTTAATTAAATAAAAAAGTGAATAGACATTTATTATTGTAGTATTTAATTATTTAATTCCTGGAGAATACCTGTGTAACTGAAAGGACTCACGAAACATAACATTGACAATCCCTTTGAGTTAGCTTGCAATAAAAATTAATATCAAGAATATCTCATGGCGAAGAAATACGAAAAATTTGATTTAATAAATCTTTAAATCAAAAATAATAATCAATACTTACTGAAAGTGATTCGACATTTACATTCTGCACATCTGTATCCTTGGGCGGAAAGTCCACGTTCAGGGCAAATATCTTTGGTGTAAGTGTATCCTCGTACTTCGCTTGCTATCACATGAACGCAAACACGGCAAATGCTACTTAAACATTTCCAGTGACAACAAAATCCACAGTCTATAAACAATTCAAATTTATTCATAAACAAGCAAATAAAATAAACAAACTCCAACTAATTTAATATTATTATGCAAATTACCAAATTTTTTATTTCTAAATATCAAGATCAATTTTTCAATAATTCAAGATTATTAACGCATATTAAGGAAAATAAAATAATTTTTAAATTTGTCTTGCAAAAATAATATCACAAAACTGATTCTCTAAATTTAAATTACTAAATAAATAAATTAAATTAATTTACCAGTAAATTAAAAGATTTTTTTAAAACATTTATTAGTAAAATTTAACTAATTTAAAAGCAGAAATTTCAGTTTTTAATTGTAATTAGTAATGATTTTTAATGATTCAAATTTAGAGAGTGAATTCACAAAAAATTAATAATGACAGTTAAATAAAATGACAATGCAATTTCTTAGAAATTAAATTATATAAAGCTACTAATAAATATCATTTTTTTAAATAAAGGGAGCGTTCACAAATGAGGCTCCGGATCTTAAAAGGGCATACGCGCGTGCACACGGCAAATAAGTTGGCCCCTGGAGATAAAATTTTGAAGTTGTTCAAAATGAATTTTAAATTATTGTTTCTTCTACAGAATTTCAAGGCGAAACTTTTTTTCTAATAAAATTTTTTTATATAATTTCTCGTTTTCACGTAAATTGAAAAAAACGTGATTTTTTGAGTTAAGAAATTTTAATGAATTTTTGACTTCAACTCGTGACTACTTCGTTAAATATTAATATTTTTCCACGAAATTTACACACAATATTCTTCAAAACTATTCCAAGAGTGAAACAATATTTGGAAATTTAAAAAAAATTGTATGTCAAGGTAAATAATTATTTAAATAATTTTGTCGGAAGAATGATTCTCCTATTTTCAATTGAAAAAGTTGAGTGACGAATTTTCGTTTTCGGAAAACTTTCAGCGACAAAAATGTTCATTAATATGTTAGGAAGTTTTTTGGAAAATATCTCGCCATTTGATAATAAATTAAAGACAATAGAGCAATTTTAACATCGTCGCGCTCTGCTGTAAAATTGCGGCGTGGCGGCGCACGTGTAGCATGGCCGCCATTAAGTCGGTTCTACAATGAGCACGGTTGTTCGTGTTCGCTAAAGTGAACGTGTACGTGCTCCACGCTAAACTATATGGAACGCGTACACGTTCACGACAGCGAACACGAACAACCGTGCTCATTGTAGAACCGACTTTACAAGACCAATGTATATAGTTAGATATTGTTGACGTTTACAGCAGAGCGCGACGATGTTAAAATTGCTCTATTGTCTTTAATTTATTATCAAATGGCGAGATATTTTCCAAAAAACTTCCTAACATATTAATGAACATTTTTGTCGCTGAAAGTTTTCCGAAAACGAAAATTCGTCACTCAACTTTTTCAATTGAAAATAGGAGAATCATTCTTCCGACAAAATTATTTAAATAATTATTTACCTTGACATACAATTTTTTTTTAAATTTCCAAATATTGTTTCACTCTTGGAATAGTTTGAAGAATATTGTGTGTAAATTTCGTGGAAAAATATTAATATTTAACGAAGTAGTCACGAGTTGAAGTCAAAAATTCATTAAAATTTCTTAACTTAAAAAATCACGTTTTTTTCAATTTACGTGAAAACGAGAAATTATATAAAAAATTTTTATTAGAAAAAAAGTTTCGCCTTGAAATTCTGTAGAAGAAACAATAATATTTAAAATTCATTTTGAACAACTTCAAAATTTTATCTCCAGGGGCCAAATTATTTGCCGTGTGTTCGCGCGTGTGCCCTTTTAAGATCCGGAGCCTCAAATGATGTGACGCAATTTTTTGAGATTTTCAACCTCCCCCATATCACATGTCACATATCACACTCAATTATATACCTTAACAGCATAATTATGTGACTGTTACAGAAATCAATGTTAATTTTTTCGACCACTTTTCTCTTAAAATATTAAATAAATTAAGCTAGTTTTTTGTGAATAACTCTAAAATATAACAAAGAAGAGTAGTGATGTGCAAAGTTTTAATAATTCTAAAATAAATTATAAAAAAATACTTTGAAATCGGAAAAGACGAGAAATTGATTAAAAGTAATTTTAAGAACTGATAATTTTAAAGTTATTTTTTAATAAATAATTTTAAAAATATTAAAACTTTTTCACATCACTGCCCTTCTTTATGATATTTTAGAGTTATTCACAAAAAACTATAGCTTAATTTATTTAATATTTTAAGACAAAAGTGGTCGAAAAAATTAACATTGAATTCTGTAACAATCACATGCTGTTAAAGTATTAATAAAATAAAAAATATTTTTATATTGAAATGTTCAAATTGTTGTTTCATAAATTAAGCAACTTTTGAATTATTATTAAACTTTAACAAAAGTGATATGAACTTTCTGAAACTTAATTTTTTTAATAATTGTACAAACTTAGAACAAGACACGAAAATAAATAGAATCAAATTTTTCTTTAAAAATAAATGACAATAACCGTATTTTTCATAAATAACAATTAATGTTTTTTTATAAGTAACTATTTTTATTTTTCAGAATATTAAATTAAATTAGGCTATATTTGTGTGTTTAAACGTTTTAAAATACTAATTAAATTATTATTTGCAATTCAAAACAATTTTGTTTGATTAATTTTTTTTATTATTTAAGTTATTATTTAAATAATCTTAAAAACATTAAATTAGAATTTCATTAATTTTAAAATTAAAAGATATTTAGAAAGAAAAATTGTTAGAAAAAAATTATTAGGAAACAAAAAAGCAAACAAGTTCTCACTTCAAATTACAAACAAACATCCAGAGGGGTTGATAGTAAAAACGAATTAAAAGAATGTTCGGAGCAAAAATTAGATGATTATGTTTAAGCAAAAAAAAGGTTTATAATAAATGACGAGAAAAAACGAATCACTTGAAGTTCCCAGTAAAAAAAAACTAATTCAAATGAATTGAAACGAATTAACATTTTTGGTAGGCTCCAATTCGTATTTGTCACAAAGCGGGATTCACTCAAGCTCTTTGTATATTCAATTGAATTTAATTCAATATGTACCAATTTGTCCAAACGAATTCGCATTCGAAAGAAATGGCCAAGGAATGCATTGAATTCGTGCTAACGAATTGAAAAAAATTAAAGGCTCAAAACTTGTCCAGTGAATTGGTACGGATAGAAGGTTCGGAAGTTCAATACAGTTTCACGAATTCAGGAAAATTGCATCATGGCTCCAATTCGTATTTGTCACAAAGCGGGATTCACGAAAGCTCTTTGTGAATTCTTTTTAATTCATTTCAATTAGTTTTCGTTTACTGGGTTAAGAACAAAAACGGCATATCTTTCTATTCCGTTTTTACTCGTAGAAAAAATTTGAATTGCTTTTTACAAATCAAAATTTCCTACTTTATAATTTATTCAAATTTAAATAAATGTATAAAAAAATTATGTCTTTTAAAATTTAAATAAATGTATATATATATATATATATATATATAAGTTTTGCGTAAGAATAAACTTTTTAAAAAGATTTTATTTTAATTTTTCGCAAAAAATTTAATTATTTTGAAAATTTTGGATTTATTTTTTTGTAAAAATTTAATTATTGCAGGTTAAAAATTATAAAATTAAGTAAGAAATAACGCATAAGGAATATTTTTAATTGACAAAAATTTTGTTTAATTGCTTTTCTAATATTGAAAGCATTTTATTATACATTAGAATTTTCATTAATTTTAAATATTAAAATATTAAAAAGAATAATTAATTATAAAAAAAAATAGAGAACAAAATGCAAACAAAAACAACCAACTTCAAATTGCGAATAGATGTGAAGTCAAATTAAGTGAGGAAAAAAATAAAGTTTAGTTTAATGCTTACCCACATAGCACCATAGTATGAGGTAAGGTTATATTGAGTACTAATCGTAAGGCACATAAGGTTACACAATATTGCTGCGGTAGACCTGAGGTGAACTAAAAACTTCCGCCATGGAGGTAAGGTTACATGTTAGGGTGTGGTGAGTATATATGATAAGGCCATGGTAACCTTACACGTTAAGGTTAAGGTAACCTTACTCGTTAAGGTTGATGTAACCTTACACGTTAAGGTTGAGGTAACGTTACATGTTAAGGTTGAGGTAAGGTTACATGTCAAGGTTGAGGTAATGTAATTATTAAGTTGTAAGGTTGAGGTAAGGTTAAGGTAAGGTTGTGATAAATTTACCAGTTATGGAAAATATTAAAAAAATAATTAATAAATAAATATTCAATTAAAAAGTTAGTTTGTTGCTCTTCTCTATTTTGGAAACCTGACATGAAGCAGAAAATTTTGAAAACAAATTTGGGGGGACTGGGATTCGAACCCGGGATCGACGCGCATAAACCTATCATTCTAACTAACTGAGCTAAGTAGAGAACTGGCAGAAGGAAAATTAATGTTGCCTTTAAGGTGAACCAAGAAGATGATTAACTCCTTAAAGGCAATATTAATTTTCCTTCTACCAGTTCTCTACTTAGCTCAGTTAGTTAGAATGATAGGTTTATGCGCGTCGATCCCGGGTTCAAATCCCAGTCCCCCCAAATTTGTTTTCAAAATTTTCTGCTTCATGTCAGGTTTCCAAAATAGAGAGGAGCAACAAACTAACTTTTTAATTGAATATTTATTTATTAATTATTTTTTCAATATTTTCCATAACTGGTAAATTTATCACAACCTTACCTTAACCTTACCTCAACCTTACAACTTAATAATTACCTTACCTCAACCTTGACATGTAACCTTACCTCAACCTTAACATGTAACGTTACCTCAACCTTAACGTGTAAGGTTACATCAACCTTAACGTGTAAGGTTACCTTAACCTTAACGTGTAAGGTTACCATGGCCTTATCATATATACTCACCACACCCTAACATGTAACTTTACCTCCATGGCGGAAGTTTTTAGTTCACCTCAGGTCTACCGCAGCAATATTGTGT